ATATATATATATATACATATTTGTGTGCGTGAATGTGTTCTGATCCATATACCACGCTATTCTTGTGGTACAGGAACCCAGTCGGCCGTTCCTGCCTCAGGTTCGATACCCGAAATACTTACCAGAAATTGGTCCTCTGATGAAGCAACCGTCTTCTTTGTACTTCTTCGGTTCCTCATGTGGGGGATCTTGGTCTGTTAAAAGTTTAAACGTTGAAATCAAGTAAAGTTTAATAAACGGTATAAGTTTCATCATAAACCCTCATCTTACGTGGTCTTTTGAAGGTTTCTTAAAAAAAATGTGATGTCAATGACACATTTCGCCTGAGAAGGGAGATCATAATTTACGTGTGTGTGCGTGCGTGTGTGTGTACGTGTACGTGTGTGCATGTGTGGGTTGTGTGTTTGTATGTCTGTATGTGTTTAAGCGTCAATATTTATTTTATGCTTTTTCCTTGACCTGTCCAGAAGGAAGTTTACATGACACAACCCTTTCCTCTTCACTATTCTGTATGAAAATGGAACATTTACGTATTTCACTTTCCCTTCTCGAGTTTCATTCACTGAAAAAGGTAACCACACCACCTTCCTTTTATTTTATCTTGTGTAAATAGCGGTGTTCTCAAGGTATTAATTAATCAGGTTAATATGAATATTAATAAGGTTCTCAAGGTGTTCTGAAAGTCTAAATTGCTATGTAATATTTTCATCCGAAGTTCATGAAATTACTTCAACAACACCTCATCTATTTTGTGCTTTAAAGGAATCATCATCTTACCTTTTACGTCCAGTTTGTAATCTGCATAATTCGGGAAGTAATCGCCAATGTGCTTCTTCGAATTCACTACTTTGTCCTTCAGGATGTCTTGCTTGTTCAGGAAAACGATGAAGCCAGCGTCTTTCAGAAATCTGTGGAGACATGGACGTGATATGTCATTGTGACTTCTCTCTCTCATCTCTCTCCTATCTATTCATCTATCTATCTATCTATCTATTTCTATCTATCATCTCTACTCTATCTATCTCTCTCTCCCTCTCTCTCTCTCTCTCTTCTCTCTCTTCTCTCTCTCTGTCTCCTCTCTCTCTTCTCTCTCTCTCTCTCTCTCTCTCTCTCTCTCTCTCTCTCTCTCTCTCTTCTCTTCTCCTTCTCTCTATCTATCTATCTATTCTATCTATCTTAATCTATCTACTCTCTTCTCTCTCTCTCACTCTCTCTCTTCCCTCTCTCTCTCTCTCTCTCTCTCTCATCATCTCTCTCTCTCTCTCTCCTCTCTTTCTCTCTCTCTCTTCTCTCTCTCTCTCTCTCTTCTTCTCTCTCTCCTCTCTCTCTTCTCCCTCCGCTCCCTCCCCTCTCTCTTCTCTCTCCCTCCTCCCTGCTCTCTCTCTCTCTCTCTCTCTCTCTCTCTCTCTCTCTCTCTTCTCTCTCTCCTCTCTCCTCCCTCCCTCCCTCCCTCCCTTCCTCCCTCCCCTCCCCCCTCCCTCCTCCCTCCCTCCCTCCCTCCCTACTCTCATCTCTCTCTGTCTCTCTTAGTATTGCTAAATTGTATGTTTATGTGTTTGTGTTTGTTTGTGTGTGTGTTTGTTGTTGATGTTTTTTGTTTGTTTGTTTGGCGTATGTTGTGTGTGTGTGTGTGTGTGTGTGTGTGTGTCTGTGTGTGTGTGTGTGTGTTGTGTGTGTTGTCTGTGTGTGTGTGTGTGTGTGTGTGGTCTGTGTTGTGTGTGATGTGTGTGTGTGTGTGTGTGTGTGCGTGGCTGCGTGGGCGTGCGTGCGTTGCGTGCGTGCGTTTGCGTGCGTGCGTGCAAGCTGCGTGCGTGCGGCTGTGTGTGTGTGCATAACCACAATCTGAAACCCCCTCCCCCCTTGGCACCCACCTTGAGACCCAAACATTTTGGAAGATTTTTATGGACTCCTGCAGCCTGTTGGTGGCTTCGTCCTCCCTCACCACCAGGTCGAAGCAGCTCGCCGACACCAGGAACAGCACGGTCTGGATGCCGTCAAACACCTGAAACAGTCAGAGGTGTTCACAGCCCCGTCGGCGGGTCAGCAAATTAGATACAAATAAAACTTTGCCTGTGGATGAGACTATGCTGTAGCGCCCAAGGTCTATATAAATACTTATATAGACCTTGGCAGCGCCTTCCCTGGGGACTTCACACACTCCCACGTTCCTGGCTTCGTTATGACTCATTTGACATCAGCTGTAGCGAGAACCTGATGAGAATCATCTTCGAGGGAACTATTTCATGTAACGACCAATGCAACATATATTATATATTATAGAAGGAACAGTAACATACATAATATATAATATTATAGAATACACAGTAACAATAGTGCCAGTTGATGTAGGTGAGTTTATCTATAGGTATTTTTAGATAACGGAAGGGGTTTCCCAAGTCTAGGAACAGTTTATCTTAAAAAATGTATACTGTTCTTTAAATCGGCTGAGGTTTGCCTAATATTGAATAAAAAATAAGATTATATCTTCAACGAACACATCATAGGTATTTTTTTTCTCAAAGAGATTTTAAACAGTCCGACGATGGCCTCAGCTTTACTACTCAATCCTATTTAGTGTCCTGAACCACCATAAGGTTCGTGGCGCCCTCTCCTACACAGGAAAAGGATGTGTGGCCCTGTCTTCTTTCTATGGCATCGAAGGAAACTGTGCTCTGGATATCACAGGATCCTCGCGATAAAAAAGGTTCTTACACCGACAGCATCCCTTATTGACAGCAGGTGTTAGCGCCTTCTCGTGAAATCGGCGTTCGTGGATTAAGCTCTTTCGTTAATCCGGCTCAGACGTCTTTCCGCGTGACGTCATGGAGTGATAAGACGCTCGCAGCCACACAGCCACATTTGCGGCAAATCTCAGTCATATGTGTATACGTGTGTATATATGTGTGTGTGTGTGTGTGTGTGTGTATATATAATATATAATATATATATATATATATTATATATAATATATATATATATATATTATATATATATATATATATATATATATAAACACACCCAACACATACACACACACATATATCCATATAGATACATATATGTACCTCTCTCTCTCTCTCTCTCTCTCTCTCTCTCCTCTCTCTCTCTCTCTCTCTCTCTCTATATATATATATATATATATATATATATATATATATATATATATATATAGCATATATATATACCTATATTCATATATATATATATATAATATATATATAATATATATAGTATATATATATATATATATATATATATATATTATATTATATATATATATATATATATATATATATATATACAATATACATATATATATATATATATTTATTATTATATATATAATATATATATATATAATATATATATGTATGTATGTATGTATGTAAATAAATGTAATACCTATATATATATATATATATATATATATATATATATATATATATATATATAATATATAATATAGTATATATATAATATATATATTATATAATGAAAGCATGAAGCATGAGGGTCTGCCATCTCTCCAAGACGTGACTGACGGCTCAACATGGCGCCAATGGCCACGCCCAGCAAGAGCTCTCCTCATCCCCTCCTCAACCTGTACCACCTGATTTATCCTGACCCTCCTTCGCCTGCACACCTGATACCACGGTCTGACCCTCCTCACCTGTTACCACCTGTATCCTCCTCACCTTGGCCACACCTGCTACCACCAGTATCCTCATCTCCCTCACCTTCACCTGTAACACCTCCTAACCTGTATCCTGAATCACCCCACCTGCACTCCCTCGTACCACTGTTGTCCTGACCCTCCTCATCCTGATCCCCCTCACCTGCTCCACCTGTACCACCTGTGTCCTGACCCTCCTCACCTGCATCCTGATCCCCCTCACCTGCACCACCTGTATCATCTGTATCCTCATCCCCTCACCTGTACCACCTGTATCCTGATCCTCCTCACTGGTATCCTGACCCTCCTCACCTGTATCGGACCTCCTCACCTGTATCTCTGACCCTCCT